ATAGTTAAGCATTGTCATGTTACATGATATCGTTCTATTAAAATGTACTGTTTCTTTAACGTTCATCTTAAGTTTGTCTCTTGTGCCACTCCGTAGTTTGCATGCTGCTTCAGGTTCACCTCCTCCCCCTTTCCTGTATTAGTCCCTGTTTTTATGCTGTACATTCAATGTGACTTGTTGTATCTCTTCTAACCTGTATGGAAAAATCATTATTTTACGTGTTGTAACTGCACATTCTACAGATCATACGATGGATAAACATCGCCAGATCTTCTTTCATGTGAGTTGTGACCGAGTAAACTATCTGGGAAGGTGATTTGGTATGGATAATCTCATCATGGCAATGAGCGCCATGTGCTCCTGAAAACCACATTCATAGCCTTTGCAGCCAGTCCAGAATAATCATACTTATTCATATTCACAATAAATGTATACTTTTGAGCTAAACACATCAGCATATTCCATACAGAGCTTAGATGATGACATCATACACATGTCATAGTCATTATGATACATTATACAGAACCTGTCACTGTAAAAAGCTGAGCTGAGAAGAGAAATCAGCAAAATAGAATCTGGTTTTAGAGACTAAGTAAGGAGAGCAGCAGAATGGGATCACAATTTGAATAATACAAATCTTACAGTGCACCTATGGTTTTACAGGATAAACATTGCAAAAAACAGGTCTACAAAGGTAGTAATTGTAAAGGAATTTTTTTTCCTCAAATTTTAACAAGCTGAACATAGTAAATTAATTAACCTGTCAATTGGCGCCATATGAAATTAAGTTTAGAATTCTGCTAAGCTAAATAAATAAGTTTGAGTTAACTTAGTTCCCTCACAGTGGCGGTCTTGTCACAGCTGCTACTCCACCCCTGCTGAGATCATCAGTGACGATAATAGGAAAGCATTGGGGGGCGGGAGGGGTGTCTGGGGGGAATATCCTCAGAGAGATGCATTAGCTGAGTCTATGTGACAATCACCAGAAGTGTCCTTAAGAAGCAATGTAAATGTCGCCTTTTCGCGGAAACGGCAGTGTTTACACTGCTGAGCCTGCATTGACAGCCTCATTGCCCCAGGACATCAACCATTAAGCTGTGGTGGTTCTGGTGCGTAGAGTGTCCATTTAATTCTCTAAATATTGTTACTGATTGATTTGAAAAATTACAGCATACAGTAGTTAATCATACTTACTCATCCTCAATGCATGCCTAAAAATTTATGTATTACTTTGAACTAAATAAATCTTCATATGTCATACAGATCCCAGCTGATGACATCACACATGTCATAGTAAGTGTTACATCATCATGAACCTGTCACTCTGTAAATAGCTGACTGAGTTGATAAAGCAGTTGGTTGCGGTACCTTAATAAGTAACATAAGGAGAAAGAGGTCACGCATTGGAGAATAAAATGAAAACAATACAATAAAACTAGTTATAAAGGATGAACACTGCAAAGTGCAGGTCTCATAAGGTAGGATTTGTAAAACATTTTTTTCTTAAACGTGTGCCAAACTCGACATGTTTTAAAGTTGGTGAAACAAAATGGAGTAACCTGTGAGTTGACATCATGGGGAATTTAGTTTAGAAATGTGGGGTGTAACCCTAAAGCTATAACTGCTAATATTACAGATCATTTAAAAAACAAAAACAAAAAAAACCTTTAGCTTTAATTAAGTAGTTTTAGTGTATAAATTATGTCTCTGCAGTTTCAGTGCTCAATTGAATGCCATCTAAGTTAAATCACTTTAATTTATGTTTTTTTTGTGGATGAAACCTTAGCCACAACTCCCCTTGCTGTGACTCATACAGTCTTCAAAAATCAGATTTTACAGAACTGTGTGTTTACTTTAAAAGCTATGACCTCCTGCTTTGTAAATTAAACTTTAATCACACACATGGGACTCACATAGACTACAGCAGGCTATTACTAAAGCATGAGATAAGAAATTCTAAATTAAAATCACTGCAAAATTGGAAGCATAAAGTTTAGATTCTTTTTCAGGAAGTGTGTAGGGACTGCTGTGTGAGTCATAGCCAGGGGAGTAGTGATGTCCCGAATGGTTCGCCGAAAGGTTCGCCGCGGACGGCGAACATATGCGGTAAACTTTGACCCTGTACCTCACAGTCAGCAGACACATTCCAGCCAATCAGCAGCAGACCCTCCCTCCCAGACCCTCTCACCTCCTCGACAGCTCACTAAGAATGCAGCTTCACAATGAATATAAAATGGATGCTGTCCAGGAGGTGGGAGGGTCTGCTGCTGATTGGCTGGAATGTGTCTGCTAACTGTGAGGTACAGGGTCAAAGTTTACCGCATATGTTCGCCGTCCGCGGCGAACCGCTCGGCGAACCATTCGGGACATCACTACAGGGGAGATGTGACTAGGGCTTCATAAACAAAATGATTTAAACCCTATATGGCAGAGAATTGAGCATTGATACAATAGGGGTATAATATATAGACCATAACTACTTCATTAAGCTAAAGTTGTTTTGGTCCTTGGAGTGTCTGTCTCAGCAGGACATTCTTTATTGGCATAAGATTTAAATTGAAAGTTTAAGTTTAAAAATGCAAATATTTTGATGCGCTTGATCGAGGCAGTTACAATAAGAAAAATGCCATTAGTTTATTCTCAATTATTTTCCCAAGTCTCTACAATACTATCAGTATTTTCCTCAATTTAAACAAATGCTTCTCATAGAAAAAAACATTGTGGATACAGTGAGCACATTTGAAAGCAATAAAAAAATATAATAGAAAAAAAGATAGTAAAAAAAAAACCTCTTAAAACATAGTACAATATTATTAAATAACAAATAGTGTGTTTTTTTTTTTACAAATTATATGAATACAATAAAATATTAATATAATACCGTAATAGTTTCCTGTATGTTTTTCTCTCTGATTCTTAATGTGAAGCTTTGATTTCTTTATCTAATCTCAAACAGGAGGCTGCAAGCAGTGCTATTTGCTGGTAGTGGCAGGCAATTAACAGAGGAGGAGATAAGAAATGCTAAAGTAAAGTAAAATACTGAATGAATTTAAAATAGGGGCCAAATTAACAGTTTTTTGCAGGAAATCTGTAAAGACACTGTGTGTGTTACAGTCAGGGGAGGTGTGGCTACGGCTACAGAAATTAAAACGGCGCCGTCATTATGCAGTTTTTGGTTTTAAATTAATCCGTTTTGCCAAACTATTTCTCATTTTTTTTGTTTTGTTTTGTTTTTTATATAAACATATATATGTGTTTTTATAAATACATATATGAAAAGTTCCATTCCAGTTGCTAAACCAAACTGTGAATATCATGGACTAAGGAGAACAAAATAAAAAGGTGCCGAGCTAGTAGATCAAGAATTTTTTTTTATTAACCATACATATTAAGTCAGGTGGCAATGGGTGGAGTATATTCATTAAGAGGCTCCTGACGACGGTGTTTTGAACACGCTGAAACGCACGTCGAACGTTTTCTTTTTCTTTAATCTCTGCACTTGGTAGCACTTTTTTATTTTTGTTACCACTATGATTATTGATTTTTAGGTGTTTATTTATTAATTTATAACTTTAGTAGGGAGAGTTGGTTCAGGTAGACACTAGTGGTTAGACCACGGTGTCGACGTAACTTTTAGGGTGAATTGAGAGATTTATTCAATTATTTATTTTTTGTGTGAGGCTTTTCATCTGCGTTTAGACCTGATTACCCGGTCCCTTGTTCTCTGGGGACCCTGTGCCTCTTCTCTCTCCCTAACCTCTCAGTCGGACACTAGGGGAACTGGAACTTAGATGCTAGCTAGTACTCCAGACAATTGATCCCCTGGGCACTGTTTAGTAGATCTCCCTTTTTTTCAAGTTATACTTTTTGTTTGCATATCCCTTTTTATCCTTAGATTGATTAAAGGTAGGGCCTCCCTTCCTCATTTCTTATACAGTGGAGCTCTCCTGATGTTGGTTTCCCCTTGTGGGACTCTACACATCACCTACTCCTATTACCTACAAATTTTGGAGGGTTACCCCCTCATTGGAGCTCCCTATTAGGTGGTTACAGTGGTGCAGCTCATGAGCCCTTGCCTTGTATCCGGACTGCTGACCTGCACTCTGTTTACTTTATTTCTCTATATTCATTAAGATACATAAGGCATTAAAAAAGAATAACTAAAATAAAAAAATAAAACATGGCAGTGCCTCTCGCCTTTATCTCCAAAATTGCAACATTAAACTAGCACCCATTGCACTAAAATCCTGTACCCATAGTACCCACTCTGTCGAGTTGGTTGAGGATTTACACTTCCACAATCCAGTTTAATAAATTATAATTTCAGCAGCCCATTACCCACATCAATATCTCTCCTCTGCCAGGCCATAAGCCATTTTATAAGGAAGAGGAGTAAGGATAATAATTAAAAAGTTCTTTCCATATCCCATTTTCTAAATTATATCATATAGCCATGCTATTAGTATTTGTAGTGTCTGCCTATACAAATATTCTATGTCCTATATATTTTTTTTAATTTCTCTTAATAATAAATAATACTAAAACTGTCTGATAACTTAGAACATACCACCCCCCCAAAACCACAGAATATAATAAAACAATAAATAAAAACAAACAAACATAATTTATTCATGTTTTAATCCAAATATATATTTATTTCTGAAAATATTTCACCATATTTGCATTTTTTTTTAAATCAAAAACAACTTTGATTAGATGACTAATGATTAATAAAATAAATTATCATCGACATAGCTGGATATAACTCTGGTAATGTACATGTTATGCATTTGAGATTATTCATTATATTTTCATCGGCAAAATATATGAGCTGAGTGGAGCTCAGGGCATGCAAAGCACATTAGCTCTTCATGGTTCATTTGTGAAGACACAGGGGTTGCCCTGGGACAGGTCATCCAAAGCAGAAGGGAATATCATCTCAATGTGGAGCTTTGAAATGTTCTATTTTGAAAACCATTAACCATTCACTTTTTAAGGCCGTGCATACAATGCTTTCTTTCTTGTTTCTACACATCATGTCAGTTTTCTTTAAATTACAACATTCCGAGGTCTTGGGCTCTTTAAAAATGACTTCTGGAATGTGAAGAGTTGGTTTCTGTACTTTTATGATTAACTAACCATAGACAGCATTTTATGATATATTCATTAGAGGAACATATCTGTGTTGTACTAACTTAAACAGTAATCCTATGCTATCATAGGACATTGAGATAGGTAGAAAGAGTGTTTATTCAAAATGTGATGTTTGATCTAATGGGAGCATCTCAAAATATTATTGTTCCAACATTAAATTTATCCACTAAAAGGATAATGCTCTATTTTTGTTCACCTGCCTCTATGGAGTAATGTAACTAATTAGAAACTAAATTGTATATCCCAGCTAGATATGCAAACTATACACCTCTCTTGTCCAATGGACACTCGTTTAGTCATCCCTGCTATGTCTTCATTGCAGACTTACTTAAAAGTCACCAAAACAACTTTAGCTTAATGAAGCAGTTTTGGTGTTTAGATCATGCCCTTGCTGTCTTAATGCCCAATTTTCTGTCATTTACGAGTTAAATCACTTTGTTTATGCAGCCCTAGGCACACCTGCCTGCATGTGACTTACACAACGTTCGTAAACATTTCCTGTAAAGAGTCATCTAATATTTACACTTTCTTTACTGCAAATTTTGTTTAATTTAGAATTTCTCATCTCCTTCTCTGTTAATAGCTTGCTAGACACTCCAGAAGCCTCCTGTATGCAATTAAAGTTCAATTTACATAGCTGGAGATAACGTTTAAAGCAAGTTACATTAAAAATTAAACAATTTTTTTAATGCAAGCTGTGTCAGTCACAGCCAGAGGAGGTGTGGCCAGGACAGCAAAAATAGAAACAAAAGTGATTTTACTCCTAGTTTGCAGAGAATTGAGCATGTAAACGTCAGAGGCATTAGCTATACACAAAAAATAAAATTGTTTTGGTGACTATAGGGGTTTCTCCAGAATTCTTGCTCATTTTCAATCAAACTTGATTGTTTCCTGTGTCGTGTATTGTATAATCACTGTAAAGCACTACTCCTCATATTGCAATTACACTACTTTGACTATTGTAACTGGTTCAGTGCACATATCTCTCTGGATTGTAAGCGTTCAGGCTGTCTATTAAAGGACTTTTATAGAGGTGCTGCAGGCATTGAATTAAAGGCCAAATGAAGAGTTCTATATAGAGTTCTCTTATACATGTTCTCTTACATATCTGTCTGTAAACTCAAGTTAATTTGTTTTGTAAAGCGCTCTGAATACGAACACTGTATAACAACTGTAAATTAAATAGATAAATAGATAGATAAGCAGATTTTCGACACGTCACTTAAAATGTTTTTTTTTTATATATAATAATTTAAATATAACTTTTAGTTTTATTGTATCACAAGAAGAGGTCTGCCTCTTTCTTTTCTTTAATATCCTATTAAGTTTCATTAGTGATTGTCCTTGTGGTAAGCATCACCATTTCCAAGTTTTATGGTTAATTCATTATTTATGTTTAGGTCATTATGGCATTATTGTAGAGTAAAATAATTTTGATTCCAAATTGTTGCCTTGTATGCCCGCCCCCCCTACACACCTCTGAAATGTTAGTACAGCACCATGCATTTGGATTCATAAATATCACACATACCAAATGTTTATTTAAAACATGGAGGGTTACTTCAATCCTTTTTTATCCTAGCATTATTTTATATTATAATTTCTTATTGGGGATTAGCAGCTTGTTCACCCCCCTTTATTTACTTAGGAAACCCTGTAATTGAAGAATAAGCTACCTTGTATATCGGTGCCACTCACTTCCGCACACTTATCCAATGTCATGACTCTTTCTCTTTCTGTGGTCCAATCAAATGCTTCTCATAAAGAAGCATTTGATTGGACCAATTTCCAGTTTCAGAGCTCATGCGCGCTCTGAGCCAAAGACGGGAGTGAGGGAGGGAGTGGGGGGTGTACAAGGAAAATCTTGCTATGGAGAAGCATTGTGATTGGCTGAGATTATCAATTCTGATTATGTCAGTCAAGGAGGTGGATCGGGGGCAGAGCCAGCGCTGGCAGACCCAGCGGTGCTGGAAATAAGGTGAGTTTTTGAGTTATTTAAGGAATGTGAGAGGGGGGCAATATTTTTTCTTTTACTCTATATGGTCAGGAATACACATTGTGTCCCTGACCCTATAGCTTTACTTTAAGGTATTTCAAGTTGCCTACAATGCACATTTTTGGATAATTTCTAATAATTCCTGTTTTACAGAAGGTTGGACATGCCTATATATGTGACAATTTTGACTCTGGTATTCTGTCCTTTACTTGTCATTTGGTATTAGGTATATATGCTATATCTGAGTACCGACTGTGTTTTTCTCTTACCTATTTATGTGTGTCATGTGTGGTAGATCCTTATAATTTCGGACAGCCTATCTCAAGGGTAAAATATGAGAAGTAATATCTTATTTCTCTCTGCACAAGTTATTTAGCAGCAGATGCCACATCAACTAGGGGCACCACTCTAGCCACACGTATTCATGAAAAACATAATAGCAGTGGAACTACTGTTGAAATTTAAATTACAATACTATTGCAAGTACAATTATTTTATTATTTTTCCGACATATTCTACAGTGCTGTACAATGGGCAAAACAATTAATTCTAACAAAACACATTTTACATACAGAATCAGTAGGTAAAGAAGGCTCTGCCCCAGCGAGCTTACAATCCAAAAAGACCAGGAACACATACAAAGAGGGTAAGTGAAATAATTAAATTATACTTTTTTTGCTATACCAACACATGTGCAAAACAGAGATATAATTGGCAAAATCAGCATAAATTGTATGAAACACATATGTGATCACTCATCCACAGGATTATTATGGGACTGGTCAATCTGCTTCCAGATGCAATGAACATGTATAGATTTACATGTTTTGTATTACCTTTTCATTGTGAGAGATAAACTAAGAATGTTCTTGTAATATAATGTACAATCTCAATCTCATTCTTGGCTACAATTAACTCATTCTCTTCTGCAATACGTTGGTACATTAATGAAAAATAAGAGAACTAACTGGTTCTTCTGGGATATTCAGCATTTTTAAAGAAAATGGATTGATTACATGAGAGTGGCAGAATCACCAGGGACATTAAATTCTCAGCAGGATTATGTATTATTGTACACATTTCTGGTAGCTTTAAATTGGAAACATTTATTACAATATATTACATATCTTAGGGCTTCTTCACTCTTATCTACATGACATATATTGGTTTTATCAGAAAGGAGACTCTCATAGCAATAAAACAGTTTCCCACAAGGATACTTTCCAAGTTGCAATTACTGAAAGACCTGTTGATGAGTAACCAATGCTATCTGCATGAATCTATGCAAGAGAACAACAATATCGTCGGTGATGTGAGCTTCCAATGTCTATATACATTTTTTCTTTTGAGAAGAAAATTAAAAAATCAAGTACATGTTCTATATTTTATTGTTTGTAAAAGTATTCTGTTATTTTTAATATTTTCATTTCAAAAACCAGTTTGGGGGGGGCGGGGCCGGACCGCCGACGGGATCAGACGTGCTCTGTCTGAGCTCCCGCTTTGGGGCCGGAAAATCGGCGCAAACTGGGGGCAAAATCTTCCCAGCAACCCGCAATGGAGACTAAACGGAGCCCCAGATCCTGGGGCACGAGGAGAAACCCCTCACAATCCTGTCCGGTGCCTACAGTAACCCGACAACGGCCCGAAGCATGTTGGAGCTTGAGCCGGGATGAGACGGCCACTCTCCCGGGTCTCCGGTTGGTGTCCGGCCCTCCCCCCCCCCCTCTGGACCGGGGGGGTCATCCCGGTCCACATAATCAACTACTATTACGCCAAGCTGGGCAGAAAACAATCACCCCGCTGGGAAACACTCACCAGCAGCACCCTCCCAAGATGGCCGCCGCACACCAGCCACGAGTGCAAACTACCCACAGGATGGAACTAGCACACAGACGAAACCATCCAGCGCCATCTGACCACCACAGTAATCATCTCCAGGGATGTGTCGGCTCACTACACTGGGCTAAACAAGGTGATGTTCGCAGCATATGTATTTGGTGGAAAAACCCCTTTGTGCCTGAGGAAAGCACCTGAGGCCCACCCTATCCCTCCTGGAGGACACTACAGTAGCTGCAGCTGCATCCACGCTTATCCTGTGCGACAACCTTCAGAGCAAGCACACTGCCAGCATTGGGTATCGATTAAACAAACCCACCAGGCTATATGCTGGCTCACTGAGCAGACCAACAACGGGTATCGGATGAAACCCTGACTACTGGACTCCCACCCATGCTGGACTGAAACCGGGTAACCAGAAAGGTCACCACTTTGGGACTCCTTAAGCTGCCTATGACGACCTGAGATTTCCTAGATTGATTTATCTTTACCCTAGCTAAGATACTATCACTTAAAAGCGTCTATACATATGTCTGTTTTCGCTATAATCTTATACATTTCGCACTCAGTTTAGGACACCAAGTGAATTCCTAATATAATGCTGCAAAATGTGCGATGACCCTACTTAACATAAGCGACTTGACCCAACGTGAATAAGTGCATAGGGTTTGGTGTATGCTGGAGGGTACCGTGACAGATATTAATGCGATGAAACCTTACAAAATAAGCATTACAAAAATGTGTTCACAAAGCAGATTAACCGTAAGGGTTAGCCCAATATGATGCTGCTAATCGCTGCGACACATAGGCTTTTCGGTAGCCAGACCTATCTATGACATGGCAATGTAGGCATACCTCCTTCACTAGACCAGTCCTTACACCTAACTCGAAGACACACTAGCAATGTTTAATTGAATGCCTTACATACTCTTTGACCTAATCCTGTTCACTAAATTACAAAAACGTAATTAACTTACGCCACGAAAATGTTTTAATATGTTATATTTGACTGCGTCTGTTACAGCTGTTGTGGCTACACAGACACTGTTGTAAATTCTTGCACGACAAAAATAAAGAATTAAAAAAAAAACAAAAAAAAACAGTTTGACCAAGACCCAACTAGTATTATCGAATTCATGGGAATATCTCGGGGACAGGAAGGGGAGAAATAACATGATCTTCTAGAGTACCATTGACCAATCAGAAACCATTTTTCACTCACTCTCCACTCACCTTAACCTTCAGATAAAGTGTTTACACCCAGCGTTATATATAGATATGTATGTAGCTGTTCTATTCCAATTCATCATAATTAATTATTTTAGAATTCCTGTGTAGGAAGCTGCAACATTCTGTTGAAATTCTCCTGGGCTGGGGAAGAAAGAAGAGGGCTTACAATAACCACAGACTAAATATCTCCTGCTTTTGGAAACTGTTTTTAAATATACCCCAATTAAAAAAATGTATAATTCAATTTTTCTCTCCAGTATAATTAAATGTACTCATATTTTATTCCCGAAGGAGGACTAAAAACGTTAACTTATTTTATACCACAGAGAATTGTGAAGCTGAATGGAAAAATAAAGGAAACTCTTTTTTTTAATTGAAAATCCGTAAGTGCTACCATTTTTTCAGTATATATGGACAGCCAGGTATGAGCACCCATATATCTCAGGGAAGCCAGTGTGCAAGGATTTGTTTATATAATATATATATATATTTATATATATATATATAATATCTGGAAACATGACAAATTAATATCTTTATATCTGAAAATGATTATTTGTATGACGTGTGACTGAACATTGGGAGAGTCACAGGTTGATAAGTTTCCTTAGAAAGTACTGATCCTCAGTACTGTGTATGAATTTATTTTGAAGTTTATGCAGTTAATCAGGGATAAAAAGACAACATTTCAACACCCGAAAACTATATTAAAAATCATTGTGAAGATTCACTGTATCGATTTAAGCTGTCATTTCAATCCAACTCTACCCTTACTTCTTCATCACCGCTTGATCACGTGAACACATTCTGAGATCGAGTGTGTAGTTCCCGTGCTAGTCACTGCTACAATGTGCGAAGAATCGGATAGGTGTATCAAGCATTGATCGCTAGATTGAACATAACAAGCTTATCTTTGCCCATATATTTCTTTGTCGTTTTCTTCTTGTGTGATATAACTGAGTGATTTTTGCACCAGAAAGCTTTAAAAATTAAACTTGAACTTTCCAAATAGCTTCCTAATAACCGTTGCCCAAATCAATGGAGCTCCATGAATATTTTGACACTGTTTAAATGGGTTTGTATCCTCACCAGTGGGATCTGGTGATTTAGTCTGTCAGGTTGCAAATGTGGAAATATCACCTCTCCGTGAGCAAAGTCCAATATCTCATTAGAAAATGAAAATAGAAGAGAAGGGAAGCACAAATGCTGTCAGTGGCAGTGAGGAAAGAAATTAAACCTCCGGAGGCTTGTATATCTTATACAAAAGATTATGCACTGCCAGGCTTTATAAATCATGCCAAGGCATAGAGGCTGCAATGGGCTAGAAAATAAAGAACCATTAAAGTGTCATATTGAAATACAGTCACTGAGAATTCTTTTATGATGAATCTAAATTTGCCTGACATTTTCTCAAATCCAGGGGTGTGCTGAAATTGTTTATTCCCTGCCTTTTGCTGTCAGTGACAAAGTCCCAGTCTCCACTGCAAATTATTATAAACAGGGCTTATTATGAAGGCATAAAAAAAAAAGTTAAAACACAGATAGCTGGAGAGTTCTTGTTTAATTTAAATGCCCCGTGGCCCACTTCAAAGCCAGTCTGTCTGATCCCAGATTTACTATCATTAAATTGGCTGTTCTTGTTCGATGGCTCAGACGGAAGGTGGTGGTTGAGAGTATTTTAAATGGAATTAAGCATGAAGAAATGCGTAACGAGGTTCTATCGTCTGTGAAATATGTCTTAGTCCATCATACGCAGGTCTTACACTCATATTTTATGGACATGCTTAGTTGAAACAAATCTGTGGTCAGAATAAGATTGACTATGGGATCTTGTGTGCACGAAAACGTTAATGTCAAACATGCATTACTTTTTTTTTTACAGTAGTATACCAGAACTTTTCAGTGGATAAAGGTCTCGGTTGCATGCACGTGTGGATAGCAGTGATTGACCTTAAAACTATATATTTTGCCATATCATAACAAACAGGTCCTGCAAAAATGTCATGCATGAAGAATAGAATGCCACATATATTGGATACATCCAAAAGACATGTATTAAATTTCTGTAACCAAAATGTAAACGTGCACCTTTATGATATTGGCATAGAATAGGGTAAGCCATTGAGTAGATCCACAAATGTTGTGGAACTACTCCCCCTTAATGCTTTGCCGATCTTAAAGCAGACAAATCATCACAGGATTTGTTATTTTCATATAGGTTTAGATATCCTTTTAGCTACCACATTCTTAGAGGAATAAACAGGTATACCAGTACAGTTTGCTGGTCTACATCCACACAATCCCATAAGTCACAGAATACAAATACAATGGTCCATTAGGAGTGCCTCTGTTTTAGGGACTGCTGCCAAGTGCCTCATTAGATTTTTGTTATTTGCAAGATATTTTAATAATAGCTGTTTATGTAATTGGGTATATCATTTAGAAAAAGAACAGAGATTTTTTATTTTTATTTACACAAATACATTTTTACACATGTTGGAGAAAATGTCCATTTGGCTATTTTAAATTAAAATCTTGTATATGTATTATGCAGAATGTATCCTACAGAGTTGAATTAAATTTTTAAGCTAATTTTTTAAATTTAATAATAGAATGTCCTGATCTAATGGTAAAATCTATTACAAATAAAAGAATTGTCACTCTAAGCACCAAAACCACTTAGACAATGTTAAAAAGTGCTGTTTTCTCCAAAACCACTCCTTTAGTGGCTGTCATACTTCCTTGTTGAAGACTTATCATTTTTGAAGGTCTCCAGATTACTTGTCATCATGTAAGCCTGATGATGCCAATGAGTCTAATGTTTCTCATAGAAAAGCATTGGATTCAGTGCTTCTGTATGAGAAGCATTGAATTGGTGGCACATGGCGAATGCTGTGCATGCACAGTAGAACCCTGATGCTTCTCTAATAGAATAATTGGATTGTACCAGAGATCAACAATGTTAGTGATCTCATTGAGGGCTGTGAGGAGACTATCCTGGCACTGAATTACAGATACTCTTTTTTAAAATGCTTATTATAGAGAAGCATTGGATTCAGTGCTTCTGTATGAGAAGCATTGGATTGGTGAGCATGGTGATTTCTGTGCATGCACAGTATAACCTTCATGCCTCTCTATGGAAATCATTGGATTGTACCAGAGGTCATTACTATTAATGATCTCATTGAGCACCATGAAGAGACTGTCCTGGCTCTGGATTATAGATGCCCTAAAAAACTTTATTATTAAAAAGAGTGCATTGAATCTCATGATTGAAAGAAACATATCTAAATCTAAAAATAATATATTTATTTTTAAAGTTAAAGTGTTTCTTTAAAAACAGAATTAACTCAAATATGCTATATTGCATAAAACATGCTATCGTAACTAATTCTGTTGAATGTAAATAAGAAAACATGATCTTTCTATTAACTAAATGACTTCTATTAACTTAATTACTTATCTATGTATGAGATACATAACAGATTTAATAGAAAAAAATAAAAGGAAAATTATGCATTTTTTTTATATCAAAATTGTTTATATGTTATAGTAAACTGCAAGTTAGGCATGGCAAAGAAGTACTATTAGAGAAAAACGTAAAGGAGTGGAACTTTAGGAAAAAATCAGGGTACTGATCAGATTTGAAGGGCTCAAGTTCTAAACACACAGTGAACAGTTATAGAGAAGTGTCACCTATAATGTTTACTGGCTGTCAAGAAAGCAATGAGAGAGATGAGTTGGACAAGACGAGATGTTCTATGTTGAAAGCTTTGATGATTAAGTACGCCAGTGTTTGGTGTCATCTACTAACGTTGCAAAGCCACTCCTGCTTAGAAAAAGATGAAGTTCTATTGTCAGCATAGGATAGCAAGGGTTACAACGTGGGAAATCTGTTTAGTAAAGGACAGCATGAAGAAAAATTAAGAACTGCAATCCATTGCATATTTACTGCATTAAGGCCTCAA